TCATATTATCAAAATATTTTGTCAGTTAAGAACTTTTTGATATCTTTTACAGGAATAAAGATGAACTGGCTCTAAGTTAGGAGGCTTTACAGGTTTGGCGATAGCTGAAGTTACAATTAAAACGAAAATTTTAAGGATGGGTTATTCCTAATCAGTGGTTCTGGATAATTTAAATAAATTCACAGTTAGAAATACCTGAGGAAAAATTGTTACAAGCAAAATTTCACAATCTGGAAACAATTTTTGCTGATAAGAGTCGTTTAAGTCATACACCAGTCGGTTCACGCCCCCCCCGGACTATTCAAGAATTTCCAAATTCCCCAGCCCCCGAAATTTCTGAATACTAGAATTGCCAAATTCTGGTTTTCTGAATTTTTGAAATCAGGAATATTTGTATTTCGACGAATTTTTGAAGTTCCGTAATTCTGGATATCTGAATTTCCTAATCTTCTGGATTTCGGAATTTCCGACATTCTGAATTTTTCCATTATCAAACTTAAAAATTTAAAAAATTTAGAATTTCCACATTTCCCGAGTTTCAGAATTTCAGCATTTTTCGAAATCCAAAGTTTTTAAATTCCCGAATATCCAAATTTTCTGATAATTTCTGAGTTTCAAGGTTCTTGAACTTCTGCAACTTAGAATTGTGAAATTTTTATTAGTTCCTAAAGCACATAGAATTAATAGGATTCAACACGGAAATTGAGAGATTGCAATTTTCAATTCCCGATCAAAATCCTGACCAAAAGCCGAACTCCTAATCTTCTCACCAGAAGTTACATGCCGAGTTCGTAATACAGTATTTTTCTTATCTTTTCCTCATTTTCCCCCTTTCTTCTCTAAAGTCACGCCTACTCATGAAGCTGACTGTCCTATTTTCATCCCCCTTCTCATTTCATTGCTCGTGCAAGACGCTGGTGTATTCTTCGTTTCTTGCTCCTCATCCCGTCTTCCTTATTTTTTTCTCAGAATTTCATATGTATATTGTCGAATCCGCTCATCTCTAATAGAAACCTAGATAATTAAAATTAAAGCTCAAGGTACAATCCTAATGTATTTGAGTTGTTTATAATCAGCGATTATTCCTTGTATGTTTTGAATTTAATTTGCAATTAGCAATACTTGACATTTAAATGAACGTTGCGAGCAAAATTTCACAATCTGAATTAGCAATTTTTGCTGATAAGAGCTGTTTATCAGTAAGTCAAAAATGTTGAAAAAAGTGTTTTTAACTGGCACCACTGGAACCTTCAGAACCTTCTCTCTTCCTGGCAAAATCCGCGCTCCCAAAGTCATAGTATTGGTGATTGCTTCTTGAGCTCCTCGGATCTGTCAGCTTTGTTATTAGTACATTTGAATTGTTTACCAAACTATTGTGAAATTATAATTTCTCACTGTTAGATAAGAGCCTTTTATACTGGCTGAGTTTACTTTCGAAACCGTTTTTATTTCAGTATTTTTAAAAATGGCCAATAGTAGTGCTCCTGAGTTTTTAGCAGGCCTTGGCCTTCAAAAAATGGCAACTACTCCTCTTCTATGTGCAGGCCTTGGTGTTCAAGCAGTTTCAACGATCTATAGCACATACGTGAGTTTGAGCTCAATTATCTTAATATTTTTGAAGTATATAAAGAATCCGAAACCATAAAAATGTTGGTGATGTTATGAAAAACATTTCATCAATTGTCAGGTTTTAGATATCTTGATCACGAGCCGAAATAATTTAGCTTAAAGGGAACTTTCAGGACCATTCTCAATTTCGTGAGAAACAAATTCAATTGTCGAACCAGCGGGATGAAGCTCATAGGAAAATGATGGATAAGATCCAATCTGGTAAATTTGAAATCATTTGAATAATCTATGTTGAAGTTTCCAGACCATATCGCCCATCTCGATCAGATGAGCGAGGCAGAGGAAAAATCTCGAGAGTGTTTTCAGGCGTACAGGGATAAACGAGAAAAAGAAATAGCGTAAGTTTATTGAATCTACAAATTTTAAGTGATTCACAAATTTTCAGAAAAATTAAATCAGAATTCGATGAACAGCAAGCCAAATACGATAAGGAAATAGATGATTCAATTAAAGAACATAAGAAAAATGTGGAGAGCATTAGAGAGCAATCGGAAAATGCTCTACGGCAAAACCAAGTGATTCATAGGAGACAGGTAGGGGATTACGCGGGTTTCCGGAAATTTCCAAAACTTTTTTAGTTGGAATCGATGGATGACAACCAACGAAAAGAACGCGAAGCACTTCACGAAAAGCTTGAAAATGCTAAAAAGGAGATTGCTAAAGTCTTGGATGATGAGTATCGTGAGATAGATATTCGGATGAACGAATACCTAGAGAAACAGGAGAAAAAACGCGAAGAGAGGAATACGGCTATGGAGAAGAATCGGAAAGAAATTGCTGGTGCTCAAGGGGAAAATCGGAGAGTTGTTCAACAGCTAGAAGAGGATAAGAGGTTTGTGTTAGTTTCCTCTCAGGACCCTGGCAGACCTCGATTATTTGAAGTATTTTTTTTTTGAATGAACTTAAGGGTTTTGTTCATATAAGAGTAGTTGCCCGATGACATACTATAAATCGGACACGATAGCTGTTTCGGCAGTCTGCCCATCAGGTGAACCGGTCCATAGGACCTCCCCGAGAGAATAGGATGATCTTTTTAAAAACTGATTTTATTACAGAAAACACTTTGAAGAACAAAAGGGTTTGGTGCTGAATACCCAGATTGAAATTTCGGGTGATCTAATCGCTCGAAATGCTTCTATGAGATGTATGAAAATGTATCAAGATGCGTTGCAGCCGGTTGCTTTGAGAATGAAAAACGCATTCAATGAAATGAGAACTATTGTAAGTGAATGAATGGTTACAACAAAAATTAGTTTTAAACATTTTCAGTGCGATTCCGCAAACTTTGACAAACGATCTATTCGAGCAGGATCACTTGATCCATTCAAAGACGAGATTGCAAGCGCCGAATGCGCGTTTTATAATAATGTTGCGATATTCACGCAGGGCATGTTATCAGAAATACATATACCTCTTGATATTCGAATTGAATTAAATGTGAGAATTTTAAAGCCTATTGAATCATTTTACCACAGTCTTACAGAATCAACTCAATCAGATAAAAAAACTACTGCAAAACACAAACGTAAAATCACATGCTGCCCTTCTAGCATTGGCTCACGACAAGAAAGATTTGGAAAAAATGAGGAATGAGATGGACTTGATGAAAACATTTTTCACAGCTTTTGAAGATCTCAATACTGATCAACAAACGTTGATGATTCAAAAAAAGATTATGGTAAGCAGTCGTTGCAATGAAGCGGGCTAATTTGGAGTTTTCAGGATTCATTGTGTGCTAAAACTAGCCAACTGAAGATCAACGGCTAGAGAATGTTACTGCTGCTGTATTTAATCAAACCTTTGAAACTTTGTTTTATATAACAAGCTTTTTCTTCATTTTGTTATGTAATACACACAGTGACATGAGATAAATGATGTTATATTTGGAATGAAAAGTTCTATTTGGAGTGAAAAGTTCCAAAAGGTATACCGTAGCACAACATCATACAGTACACCTGCAGTACACATACGGTACACAGTTACGCAAAAATGCTTTTCAAAACACAATTCCTGAATTAAAAAAAAACCAAAAAAAAGTTTGCCCAGCCTCTCCCAGTTGACATCCTGACCTGGGTCTCTCTAGTTCTCCTCAATCTACCCATTCCACCAATTATCGATTATTTCAACTTTCAACAATTAACTAATACAACTGATCATCGATTACGATCATCAAAATGACTCTCCGTGAAAAATTGGAAAGATCTCGTCCCGGTAAAAGTAAAGAGCAGAAAACCAAGTAGGTCTTCAAAAAAAATGTTCAACCCTTTGGGTTTTATTCCAGAAAAAAGAAGGGTCGCAAAATCATGAGTCCTGATGACGTCATCAAGAATGGACCATTCAGTTGGAAGGTTGTCACTCTTCTGGGAAGTGGTGGATTTGGTGACGTTTATAAAGTGTTTGATGAAAGGAATAAGGCAAAGCAATACGCGTTGAAAACCGAAAGTGAGGACGGCAAAAAAGTGATGCTTCGGTTGAAAGTCGAAGTTCGAGTTATGATGGCGATTTTGGAAGCGAGGAAGACAAATCCACAGGGGTATAAACATTTCGTGGAGTTTGTGGATCGTGGGAAAAGTGAAGATTTGGGATGCAAATTTGTGGTGATGAGTCTCGTCGGACCGTCGTTGGATGATTGTCGGAGGAAGTATGGAGTGTGTCTGAATGATCGAAGTACACCCTATATCATTGCGATACAGAGTTTGGAGGTGATTTTTTGTTTTCTAGGGTACCGTAGTTGAAGGTCTAATAATGGCCCACAAAAAATGCAACTGATGTGCTTTCTAGGCCATGGTAACATGGTGCTTGAGATTTGCAAGTTGGGTCTTCTAGGCCGCCATGATAAACGACCAAGCAAGCACACCATGTATAAATATCAAGTCTAAATTTCTGAATTTTTGAATTTCTGAATTTCTGAATTTTTGAATTTCTGAATTTCTGAATTTCTGAATTTCTGGATTTCTGAATTTCTGAATTTCTGAATTTGTGAATTTGTGAATTTCTGAATTTCTGAATTTCTGAATTTCTGAATTTCTGAATTTCTGAATTTCTGAATTTCTGAATTTCTGAATTTCTGAATTTCTGAATTTCTGAATTTCTGAATTTCTGGATTTCTGAATTTCTGAATTTCTGAATTTCTGAATTTCTGGATTTCTGAATTTCTGAATTTCTGAATTTCTGAATTTCTGGATTTCTGAATTTCTGAATTTCTGAATTTCTGAATTTCTGAATTTCTGAATTTCTGAATTTCTGAATTTCTGAATTTCTGAATTTCTGAATTTCTGAATTTCTGAATTTCTGAATTTCTGAATTTCTGAATTTCTGAATTTCTGGATTTCTGAATTTCTGAATTTCTGAATTTCTGAATTTCTGAATTTCTGAATTTCTGAATTTCTGAATTTCTGAATTTCTGAATTTCTGAATTTCTGAATTTTTCTGAGTGTCTGAGCCGGGCAGACGACTTTTCCCCTATTCCAGGCTGTCCGTGATCTTCACGCCCTTGGCTACCTCCACCGTGACATCAAACCAGCTAACTTCGCCGTTGGTCTCGGCCCCACAGAACCCACAGTCTTCATGCTAGACTTTGGGATCTGTCGAAGTTTTCTTGACCCCGCCACGAAGCAACACAGAGCGCCCAGAAAATCGGTGAAGTTTCTGGGCACGAATTTATGGCAGGCAAAGGTTTATTCTAACTTTGACCCAATTTATCTCAGTTTTTGTGAAAGGTATCAAAAAGTGATCAACTGACAAAACATCTATGATTACGATAAGCATTTTATCAGTTGACTACTCTTTGATATCTATCACAGGGACCGAGATAAATTGAGTCTAACTTCAAACATTTTCAGCGAAAGAAGCCTATCGAGGAGTGCCACGTAACATGAAAACAATTGTCTCCTATGTGGACACATTAAGTTTTCAATCCGCACCAGATTATCCGTTCATGATCAACTTCCTTTTCACAATGTCTAGTCAGGCTGGCTTCCCGATCAACAATATCAATACTGGAGCTTGGGTTGGGAATCTGAAAAATAAAAAAGACTCGGGACGGAATGGAACGAGGTCGGATAAGCTGTCAGGCTCGTCGGATGGGGATTGAGATTTACTTGAATGAATTTTTATTAATAAAATCTTTATTCTTGACCACCAGCTGACAGATTTGTCATTATTATGTTAAGGATATTGGGCAGCTGAAAGAGGGACAACTAGAGAAAAACAAGTCCAGAATTCATTTTTCATATCAAAAAATGCCGAAAACCTCCACCACATCTACTATGCTTCCAGAATATTACGACTATGAAGAAGACACATATAAAATTGTCTTCAACATTTCTACCAGACTAAACCTTTCGCTTCAAATCGCTACAGTAATCCTGAACTTTCTCCACTTGATTGTTCTGCTTCGGAAGGATCTCCGATCCTTTGCAATTTACATTTTCATGATAGGCATTTGCATTTCCGACATTCTTACCAACTCTATAGATTTCACCTATATCGCTGGAGAGATTTCCTGGATGCCCATCCTTTTCGCGGGCTCTGGAGAGATTTCTTGCCTTCGAGATGACTATTCAGAAGTGAATGTTGGCGTACAGATCCTGGCTACTCTATTAGACATTTCTAGAAGATTATCAGTTTGGTTGGCAATTCTTATGGCAATCATGAGGAATTTATCCGTGTTGTACCCTACTAACCAACGGATACAAAGTATGTCAAAATCTAAAGGAGCATTGATTATATTGGGAATTTGTGTTTTGTTTTGGGTGGTTTTTAATATCTGGCATTTCGTTTTGTATCGGATTTTTTGGCTGCCGGATAATGCGAATGCGTTGTGAGTTTGATTTTGGGGAAAATCCAAATACCAAGTAAAACCTGTAATAGAATAGCACCCATACTGTCCAGCTCAAAAACTCAAAAATGGGTGTCATTCAGAAATCATGCAATTGCTGAAAAACTAGAAACTTCCGAGAAATTCTGTTAATGCAAAGTGTTCAGTTTCGGTCTGTTTTACAACTTTCAAAAATTTCAAAGCGATCGGAAACTTGATAGCCGAGACTCCTGAAAATGACTGAAGATCAACTGGAAAACACGTTTTTGTGTATCTCCATTCCTCTCCAAGATATCAAAAATTTGTCAATTAATAAAATACTTCTGACATTATGATAAACAATTTATCAGTTGATAACTTTTTGATACCTTTGACAGGAACCGAGAAAAATTGACTCAAAATTGGGGGCCTTTCTATTAGAGGTGTTACGGTATACGAGGGCTAAAACTGTCTGAAAATATTCGTCCTGCAATTTTTCTTCAGGTGCAAAAAGTATTACAAATCTTCAATAACTCCTCGTTATATCCTTGCCGCCCCCTCCGATCTTCACGGAATTATGCTGGATTGGGGATTCATCGAAATCATAATGAAATTCGCTGCCACAATCTGTTATCCGATTTTAACAATTTCTTTATTGATAACACTTCGCAAAATTAAGAATCGAAGAAACAAGAGTGATAAGAAAGAAACTGAAAAACCAGATCACACTACAAAACTCATTTTGCTCATGACCATTTTTTTCATGCTCTCTGAAGGGTTTGCTGGTGTCTTGGCTCTGTTTCAGTATAATATGATTGCTCTTATGGAGATCGATGAAGAATTCGTGTAAGTTTCTGTTTGGACAAACAGACACACAGACAAATTATTTTTCAGTTATGCTATAAATGCTGCACAGTATCCGGTATCAGTTTTGCGAACTTTGAATGCGTTATCTCATCCAATCGTTTGTTATCTTTTATCTTCTCAATATCGGGATGCAGTGAAAGGGATATTTATAGGGAAGAAAAAAGTAGGGAATTACTGTAGGTATATTAGAAAAATTAAATGTTTCAGCTCAAAAAATTGGATGTTACACGGTCGACGAGCAATGTGCGGAGCAGAACGACAACGTCAACAATTGGATAATTTTTTTCAAAATGACTCTCTAGCAGTTTTGGTTGTACTCCTTGTCTTTGTTTTACATTCCTCTACAAAAATTAACTGAAATAAAAATTTTGAGATTTGACTTAATTAAAATAAATTCTTTTTACCTTCTCATTCTTGGTAAAACCAAATAAAGATTTTGCAGTTTCTCTATACTGAGTTGACATGAAAAAGCAGACAATTGGATGGCTAGAAGAGTTGATGACTGGGAAAATTTCAGCGAAACACATGATAAGATAAGCGATGGTTCTGGAAACATCTTCATGTACTTTGAGCCAAATTATCTCGGTTCCTATGAGAGATATCAAAATTTTGATAACTGATAAAATACTGGTAATAACATGATAAGGAATTTATCAGTTGACAGATTTTTGGTATCTCTCATAGGAGCCGAGATATTTGGCTCAAAGTTATAAATTCTATTACAGGTGGTCTGCCCGGCTGATAAGGTCAATACCACTTACCTTATCAATGGACTGTTCTCAAAATAGGAAAATGCAAAATGTGAGAATCCATTGGGAACTTCAAGTAGAAACGAAGACATGGTGATGAACAATATGAAACTAGTGGTATTATCTTTCTCCTCCGATTTCTTGATAATTTGTCTTCGTTTCGATGCTTTTCGTATCTCCAAAATTAACAGAACAGCTAGAACCGGTTCTATAAGAGATGGAAGTGCTTTTATGATTCCATAGATGAATGTGATTTTTGCGTGAAGGTCCGACTTTTCACGGGGTACTGTAGTCAGGTATCGCTCCTCGGTTTCTGGCAGAATGTGTTGTGTTCCGTCGCAGCTGGAAAGTAGAATTCTTATAAATCGTTCTGCTATGGACAAGGATATTCTAGGGTTCTAGGGTTCTAGGGTTCTAGGGTTCTAGGGTTCTAGGGTTCTAGGGTTCTAGGGTTCTAGGGTTCTAAATCTCAGAATCTCAAAATTTCAGAATCTCAGAATCTCAGAATCTCAGAATCTCAGAATTTCAGAATCTCAGAATCTCAGAATCTCAGAATCTCAGAATCTCAGAATCTCAGAATCCCACTTTTAGGCCTCCAAAACTTTACCTAAAATCCTTCCATTGTCTCCGGATTTCATGATTCCACATAGCCGTAATTGAGACCAATCCATTGACCAAAACAGTTAGCACCACTACCAAAGGCACCACCCACGACCTCGACAACCCCATCATCTTCTGACTCATCGGAAACATCACTGACAGCACTCTATACAAAGCCATGAACAATCCAAGCCACGTGGCACTCCGTTGAGTGTCATCCAACACACCCACCCCATACTTGTTGATGAGTGCATCCTGGTAGGTTACGGTCACATAACATTCCTGGCCAGGTTTCACAGATCTGATCCAGAAAGGAGAAAAGGCGATGAATCCCAAAACTTGACTGATAAGATCGCAAATACAAATTCCTAGCATCATTCGGTAGATCGTGTTGAATCGAAGGTCCTTTCTGGTTAGAATAATCAGATGGGTGAGAGTTATGGCGACGGCAATGAATTGAAGGATGGCCAGAATATAATTGAATAGATTGAAGGCGTCGTTAAACCAGGATGGGATGTCTACATAGGTGACAATATCCTTCGGAGCAGCAGTGGTTGGGATTACGGTAGTAGTGGAAGACATGTTTTCTGTTTTTGGTCATAGCTGTTGTTTTCTCACCTTTTATACTAATTTTCCTAAGCGATTACAGATTGTTACTATTAGTATTAGTCAGTGATTCAGTAACCAAAACACGAGCAAATTGTCAACAATCTTTTTTTCTTGGGGGATTTTTTAGATCAAATAATGCTTTGTGGAAAACTTCAAAGAGTAATTTGATTGAGGTTCATGTGTCTTGAGGGAGGTTTGTAGTTTGGTAGATCAAAACTATTAGATTTTTTGCTCTTGAGCTATGCGGGCGGGACTCATTAAAGGCTCTGATAGTGGCCCACCCAATACTTTAACTTTGAGCTCAATTATCTTGGTTCTTTTAAAAGATATCAAGAATTTCACAACTGATAAATTATTTATCATAATACCACCATTATATTATCAGTTGACAAATTTTTGATATCTCTCATAGGAACCGAGATAATTAGGGTCAAACGGGATGATATTTTAAAGGAGCTACAAAGATATTAAAAGTGAAAATTGAATTGTTATCAAAATTCAATTGTTACGTGGTGAATTTTTCAAACAATTTTTGGCGGATAAAAAAGAGCGAAACATTTGGAAAATTATTAGAAAAACATTTGGAAAATTATTAGAAAAAAATTATTAGAAAAATTCAGGAGCACTGAAGCCTGGAGCCCTGAAGTAAGGAGCTCTGGGGTTAGGAGCCCTCTGGCCGGGAGCCCTGGGTTTAGGAGCAAGGCCAAATGCTGGTTTAGGATCTAAAAACTAGCGTGGTGTTCTGAAGAAATCTACTGTAAAATTGAAGATCGTTTTTTTTTCAATTCCTGGAACTGAAATCAGACAATTCATGCATTCAGAGCGTTCCTGATGGTTCAGACTGAAAATAAGAAGAAACTATGTGATTGATATTACCACCCATTTCTTTGTTGACCACTTTTCAAACCTCTTACAGGAATTGAGAATAAGTGGTTCCAAGTTCACTGTGTTACCGTAGCGTGCACATTAGGCTCAATTATGTCGATTCCTATGAAAGATCTCAAAAAATTTGTCAACTGATAAAACGTTGCTCTTGAAATTATCAACAGTTTATCAGTTAGCAAATATTTTATATGTTTTGAAGGAACCGAGATAATTGAGCTCAAAGTGCACGATAGATTACGGTAGTACGATTTACAGCCGCTATCGTTTGAATTCAATGAATTCCAGATACTTTTTGAGTATGTATTTTTTGCGGTACTTTCTGTAATTGTCTTTCTTAAACACAAAAAAAAACAAAAAAAGGAATTCAAACATATGATTATGTGTATGTTTTTGGGGTTTTTTTAATTGATGCCTCGAAATTGATAACACCCATTAAGAATAGAACAAAAAATATATCAACAATAACATGAACGGGAAACGGACAAAAATGGACCAAAGATATACAAAAATCAACGGATTGAAAATATTCAAAAATGGGACGAAGTGGCAGATCGGAGTGTCTTTGTGAAAATATTGCAAAAATATTTGTTTTATCAGCTAACTTGCTGCGTTACTGTTTCTGATCTGATTTCAACTGGCAGAGGATGTTAGCGTGTTGCCTAGGCTATGAAAAATGTGTGCCTGAGTTTTTCTCAAGGAGTGGTTCCTTGTTTTTTGACAATTAGTCATAATTTGCTTTATTCACTGATCAATTATATTCCATCCAGCTGTTCCTTCAAAAACACACAGAATCAAAGCATACACCCACATTCCTTTTATCAGAAAATGTCTCAAAACGCTGTTCTCTCCGATTTCGATAAATTCGACAATTCTACAAAAGAGGCTCTTGTAATTATTGGAAACAATATTTTACTTGTGTCTCAGTATTTTTATAAACTGAATTTCGTCCTAGCAATTTTGGGTATCTTTATAAACGCTTTTCATATCATCATACTCTCTAGAAAACCGATAATCTTCAATGTTATCAATGTGATTATGTTGGGTATCGCTATCAGTGACACGGTGAATTTGAGCTGTTTAGCTTATGAATTTATCACGGTGATTTCCGAATCGTTCGAAGATGAATGTGCCTCTCCGCAAAGTTCTCTTATCACAAGGCTGTATTTTCATATCTTAATATTCAAGAACGACTCCCGAAGATTATCCACGTGGCTTGGTGTTCTTATGGCATCTCTTCGCTATTTGATCACAAAAAATGCATTAAATCCAACCTTCAATTTTCTCTCCAAAGCATCGTCCGGTTGGAAATCCTTGGCTGTCGCATCCACAATCAGTTCTCTAATGTCTCTTTTCTATTAGATTCGCGTGGATCTTATTTCTGAAGTCTGGGTTCCTCCGGAAGCCTGTGGATACCAGGCCAACTCCAGTATGCTTGAATATGTCTATACAGATAATGATGTTTTTCAGTGGGACAGAGATCTATCAGTCTTATGTAGTTCTCGATGGAGTTTTGAAGGTCTGAAGTTTGATAACAGTCGGATAAATGATGAAAACTTTTCAGATCGTTCCTGCTATTGTGCTTCCAATACTGGCTGTTCTATTGATAAGAGAATTGAAGAAGGCAGAAGTTTCCAGAAAGAAAATGTCTGTATCTTCTCAAAGCGCTAACAATTCTGATAACACTTCTAAATTGGTTATCATTATGACAATCACTTGTATTTGTGCTGAAGGACCAATGGGAATAGCATTTGTACTTGAAGGTTTAGTAGATGATGTTCCAAAATTGAGGTTGAAAAAACCACTGGGATAGATAGTCTGTAAATATGGTATTTCAGAGAAATAGTCACCTGGTTCGAGTCAATTATTTACACTTCCGTCATTTTGAACGCAACTACTCACTTTATTGTCTGCCTCAGAGTTTCTACACCGTATAGAAAAACTGTCAAAGAGTTGTTTGGACACAACGGATCACAGAATCCTGTAAGTTGGTTTTAGAAAGCTACAGTTTTGCAAAAATATATTTTCAGATAACAATAACTCCAAAAATCAGTTCAGCAAGTATTGTTACACAGAGACAAGTGGATGCCAGGATAGATGGCTAAACTGATTTATTGTATTCTTGAAGGCTAAAATATGATAATAATTGTAAGAGAAATACAATAAATGTGATACTTTTATTTTAAACTTGTCAAAACTACCATCATCCCAGCAAACAGGCTGGTGGTTTTAAGAACAACTTTTTTTGAAAATCAGCTAGCCAAAACAGATCTAAAATATGTTCGTAATTGAAGGCCCCTTCCACGGGCTTTTTACTGTAGACACCCATGACAGATTCCCATGCGTCTACAAAAACAGGCAAAGATGTGAAGGCAAGTGAAGGAACATGGGAAAATATGAAATTGGGGACGGCGGTCTATCCATGACACGGTCAGGTGGAAGTATGAGTCAGGGAAGCCACGCCTCCCGTGGTCCCATGAGAAAATGGTTGGGGAAACAGAGGGATGAGGCACAGCATGATGAGACACACCCTACAAACACGCTTGGTCAGCCGGTTGCGACCGTGTAGCTCAGCAGATGGTAGCGGTACCTTCATCATTTGGATCACAAGCTCAGCCCCTATCGCTCTGTGAGACTGCCATTAAATGCTCTTTCAAGAGTTGAACTCGTGGCCTCAATCGTAGATGAACAGCGCCACTCCCACCTGAGCTAAGCGGTCGTAAACCTGCCAATGGTCTAGCAAAGCGGCGTTTCACCTTAAACCTTTTGCAGTCCTATAGTCTTTAAAGCTAATTTGAGTTTCTATGCTGTTTAACTTTCTCACTTCTAATCTAACTTTTCGGTAAACCATTCAATTCCATTTTTTACTTTTTCCTACGCCCCATCTTCCTTTCCCATGCCCCATCTTCCGTCTTCACCACCTCCTCAACACGTGCGCGTTTTCCCACGTCCCTTTAATTTCGTCTTGATGAGGGCGTGGTCCCTTTTTTTCCACCTGTACAAGATAACATAAGACCATATCATTTTTGTGTCCCACTACTTTCTTGTTTTTGACTCATCACTGCAGAATTTGAATTCTTTCCCATAGGCTCCGTCGTGTCTCATCATCCTTATGATAGTTATAAAACCCATAAAACCTCAATTCAATCATCAACTTGTATACTTACTTTTATTGTTATTAGATGGGTATGGTCAGATTAGACTCGTAGACTATTTTTTTGCATACTTCATGGTAGATCAAAAATGTATTTTTTTAGATTCATTGATTTTCCTTCTTGCTGTCATCAGCTAAACCTATTTTTGTTTTTTAGCCCATTTAGAATATTTCTATTTTGAGCCAAGTTACTGTATTTTCTCTTATAGAAGTTCACCCCATACCTGCACTTTGAACTCAATTATCTCGGTTCCTAGAAGAGATATCGAAAAACTGTTTACTGATAAATTATTCATCATAATATCATCTATATTTTATCAGTTAGAATATTTTTTTTATCTTTCATAGGGACCGAGTTATTTGAGCTCAAAGTGTAGGTATAGAATAGGCTTCTAAGGACCAGAAGAGTTTGAGATTCCATTTGGAAATTTATGTCAACATTTTTGAATAATGAGTCGAAAATCGCACTTTCCCACACTCCTATATCAATTCCCATTTCCCATGCTCGCTTCTCTTTACCTTGCCTGTATTCCTCGCATCTTCCCACGGGTCCGAAGGGGCGTGGCCGAACACGGTACCTGTCTATATGATACCCATACCCCATAGACCCAATAACAACCATTCATTCTTGTTCGTTCCGTATGCCCTCCGGTTTACTCGTCTCACGATCTCCTCTTATTTTTTTCAGTTTCCATATTCTTTATTTCCAGGTTTCTAGACATGGATTATATCACCGCTACCATGATTCTTAAACAAGACAGAAAGATTGTTCAGGACAGAGAGAAACGATCCAATTTTAATGAGAAGGTGGCAGTTTTGGCAAATTGATTCAAAGTGATGGTGAGGAAGGATTGAGGTGAGTTTTGAATTTCAAATGCGCTCTATCGCAATCTAGTTGCTCTAGCTCTACCTAATCAAGCTCTATCTAAGCTAGCTAATGAAATATCTTTCAGCACCGACACTATTCTAAAAAAGACTCTCGATGTTGTCAAACAGCTGAATAAAGAATCGACATCCGACGCAGCGCTCAGCGGTTTCTATCACGGACTCTACCAAACAAACGTCCACGTGGCTCAATTCATCAAGAACCTGAAGCTCTGTTCAAAAGACACTGAAGATCTGGTCATCGGTGTCAAACAACTGTTCGAAATGGCTATTCACGGCTCTGTTGGGAATCATTCGCCAAGGCAAGAAAGAGTGGAGGGGAAGGATTTGAAAGAGATCAAGAAGAAGCGGGAACAACGCCGGCGAGATCGATTGAGCGCTGGTCTCAACGGTTTACACGAGTTCATCGTGCAGAACAATGTGGCGCAGGTGCAAAAGTGAGTTTGGGAGCCGAGGTTTATGTGTTACGGGTCATACTTGTCCGAACCAAAGCTTGGGTATACTTCTGAATTTTGGTTCAAATTGAACATTAAAATGTAGAAATTTGAGCCAATTTGTTGGTCCTGTAATGAAATGGTCTGCATACAGTCAAGTTTGAGTTCAGCCATCTCGGTTCCTATGCAAAAAATTAAAAATATGTCAACTGATCAAATGCTAATGATATTATGATAAACAATTTATTAGTTGGCAACTCTTTTGTACCTTTGACAGGAACCGAGCTATATTGGCTGAAAGTTAAAAGTTAAGCGGATTTTCTATTACAGGTTTTACGGTTGTCAAAAATATAGATCAACTCAGAAAACCATAATTATTTTCAGAAAGAAATTCGAAAAGAATCAGATCCTTGACATTATTATCGATTATATCGCGAGTACCAAAGCCGCAATGATAAATAGGACCATCCAGGAGCACCTGATCCACGCACAAGGAGTCGTCACTGGTCAGAACAAAGGAAAGGAGTTGGCACTTCAGTTTTTTATGGTGAGTCCGATTTATCTACTTTTAGAGCTCTTGTTGTCCATTCCTTGTTTGTTTTTGGTAGGTTTTAGGACTTTTTCGGTCTGTTTGTAGACCGTTTATGGTTCGTTTTCGGTCCGTTTGTGGTCCGTTTTTGTCTTGTTTTCAGCTAGTTTTTCCTCCGTTTTTGGTCCGTTTTTGATCCTTTTTTGACCTATTTTTGTCTTGTTTTCTGCTAGTACCGTTAACTAAAATATTTTCATTTCCAGATCAACTCGCAACTTGTTCTCCACCTTGTACAATTCAATGCGTATTTGGATGAGAAATTGAGCAAAATCCGGGCACTAATTGCTCCATCACCTGCTCCACTCAACACTGAATTTTACCAGTTGATGCTCCAACTACCGGGATTTCTGAACCTCCCAGCTGCTCCTCTGTCGGGTGCACCAACATCTCCAACCGGATCCTGGACTCGCTCTTCGCCATCTTCCGATGTTTCGTCAGGTAGTACTTCTCCAGCCAAAGAATCAAGGGGAATCGTTCGCCCATGGGAATAAGATCTTTAAAATATATTTTTTAATTCTCAAGTTCATAATTTATTTCTTGCTCATCAATGTCATACTGGTTTTAAGATACATTTCAATAGAATCTATGGATTCTCAAAAAGTTTTATTTTGTCATGATCTCGTTCATCGATTGTACCATTTTTATATTCAAATTTCTAATAAAACTATATCAATATTCCAAGTAATTTTATTCAAAAAACGATATTTCTAAAATCCAAAATTTGGATTTACAGCACAAAAATATCTGTGCTGGAAATTGAATTAAACAATAATTGTTCAGCGAAGCAAAATTATACAGAAAAATCCAAACAAAGGTTCCCATCGAAAATTTGTCGCTTCCATAGTTATTTCCATCCTGATTGTTTGTTCTATCGATAACTTCTGAAATTAAAAGTTTCCCAAAAATATTTCAGCTTATAAAAATCTAAATTTTTACCACACTGCTTTCCATCAACAGTCACTACAGTATCCGTTGTATTCTGCATCAAATCTAGGCAAGCCGCCGAGTTCAAAAATCCATTTACACTATTTTCGAAACTGATTTGAAATTGGGTTTGGGAGAATACTCTCTGAAAAAGGTTTCGAATAGTTTTGGTCTGAAGAATTTAAAATTTATAGGGTTATGTACCTTTAAATTTGGGAGTTTAGCACTTTCCAGCATTTTGTTCGAGATCAGACGAATCGGTATTGTAGAGCCTATAAAAAAATTAAAATTTTGTTTAATGAATCTATGAATGAACCCATGAACTCATGAACCCATGAACCCGTTCCCTTGAATTAAGTACCCATGTACCCATGAACCCATGAACCCATGAACCCATGAACCCATGAACCCATGAACCCATGAACCCATGAACCCATGAACCCATGAACCCATGAACCCATGAACCCATGAACCCATGAACCCATGAACCCATGAACCCATGAACCCATGAACTCATGAACCCATGAACTCATGAACCCATGAACCCACGAATTCATGAACCCAGGAATCCATGAACCGATGAACCCATGAACCCATGATCCCATGAACCCATGAACCCATGAACCCGTGCCTCCCTTTAAAGAAATTTGACCTACTATTCAAGTTCACCGCGTATTCCAAACTTTCCAAGAAAGCTAAATCTGTGATATTTGTGTCTTGAACAGTCAAAGATCCCCAAATGAATCTCACAGATTTTAATTTTCCAATATAAACTTCATCGCCAGAGTTTATAGATATATTTCCTTGAATTTCAGAGCAATTGGATTTCAGGTCCTTCAAATTTTTGAAAATACAAGCAGTGGTCTTATTTTCACATAATTTCGCATTCAGATTTCCGAAAACCACTTTGTTCTCCAGAAAAACTTTGAATTCGTCGATAGTGAAACAAAAATCGGCATGGTTAGCTTCAAAGTTGGCAAGGAATACTGGCTTTCTTGGGATCAAGTTCTGGAATTCAAAAAAGAATGATACCCCATTGCTCAGCAAAAATACAAACCCTGATCAATGAAATCCCTAATCTGGTGAGGTTTTGATTATCTCTGATATCAATATCATATGAAACAGTGTCGTATGCACTTCCTTTAATCGTTTTCAGATTTTTCAAAAACGATAGACTTTCAAAATCTGTCCGAACTACTGAAAACTCAGCACTGATATTTTCGATATCTCCAAATGCTGTCAAATCAAATCCATTTGCTATAAATTGATAAGAGAGCAAGTCCAAAGAAGTGGTAACCAAAGTGCAATTTCTAAAGTCTTCTGCTGTTTTCTTGTACATTTCGGTGCCTATACAACCGGGGCAATTTTTGAGATTGCCATCTGAAATCACTTCAAATAAACCTTCGTTGATCCCACAAAATGCGCTGGCATCTAAACGTTTGTTGTCAAAAATAGAAAAAGGGCATGTGAAGTTTGTTGATGGTCCGAAGTTCAATTGTTCCAGATTTGGGTTGTTGTAAAAACCGAACGTGTCTGAAAATGTGAATGTGAATTTTTTTTTGTGATGGGGTACGGTCATCGGTGTTTACGCCTTTCACTTTTTTGTGTGGTTATCAGTGATGGGAGGAGTTTCCGTTTCCGTTTCCGTTTTCCGCCCGGTTTTTAGAGATTTTTTTCCATTTCCGTTTCCGCGGAAAAAAATTTACGTTTTCGTTTCCTTTTCCGTTTTCAGTAAGAGTAAAATTCTATTTCCGTTTTCCTGAAAAAATTGCCAATTTTTTTTTCAGCGGAAACGGAAAAAATTGTAAAAGTTGACGAAAACATTGAACTGAAACAGGCTTGAAAAAAATCATGGAAAGTGAGGCAAATATAGTCTTCAAACGTTAAAAAGTGTTTATTTTCATGTTTGATGGAAAAAAAAACCCTGAAAAATAGACGAAAAACAGAAATTTCAGTTTCCGTTTCCGTTTTAGTTTTCCGTTTTCCGCCCGATTTTTAAAAATTTTTTCCGTTTCCGTTTCCGCGGAAAAAAATCCCCCTTTCCGTTTTCGTTTCCGTGTTTCCGTATTTCGGGAAAATGCGTTTCCTCCCATCACTGGTGGTCATTACTTTTTTGAGTGGTCCTACTCATAGAAATGTCCTTTTTCGAATTTTCTAGAATTCCGATATTCAAAAAAAGTTCATTTCGAACACTCTTTATGGCATGTGCCGTTTCTATGAGTCTGCCAATAAATGGTTTCTGAGTAGTTGAACTTGGCGCTGAATGTTAGGAGAACAGGCTGAGCTACGCGGTCATGACTTTTAGCAGCCGTACTTCCTTCAATAACAATTTAAGGACAATGCCATAACTTCCAAATTTTGACGTCAGAGTGCATACTCCCCCCTTTAAAGTCTCCCAACTCACATGGCTCACACTCGATGGATTTCAAACCAGACAAAAATTCAATACTTGCATATTTGGACTTCTCAAAACTAATTGAACCTCTGAACACTGACACGTTCGCAAAATACGATTGTAGTTCGAAAACCGGAATATCCGAATATTGATTGAATATCATTTTACCACAGATCTCGGTGCAATTTCTTGGCCATTTCGAGATAGTTTCATAACTGACTATTTCTTCTAAAAACCAGCAATTCGGTTCTGAAAATTTGATTTTTTTTTTGAAAAACATTTATAGTTGCTCCCGTAAGCTAATTTCCGGTCATTTGACCATTTTTAGGAGTCTGGAGCTCGGTTGTCAAGTTTCCGATCACTTTGAAAATTTTGGAGGGTGTAAAACAGACCTAGACGGACAATTTTGCATTCACAGACTTTTTTGGATGTTTCTAGTTTTCCAGATATTTTTAGATTTTTGAAAGTCACCCATTTTTTGTACTGAAAACATGAAAAAGCTAGTGTCTTTTAGAAATCGGCAAATAGCTGAAAAACTAGGAATTCTCAGAAAATTCTGGGAATGCAAAATTTTTAATCTGGGTCTGTTTTACCCACTCAAAATTTTTCAAAAAGTTCGAAAACTTGACATCCGAGCTCTAACCCCCTGACAAGGGAACCATGTTTAGCCTTCATCTCAGAATTTTTTCTAAATTTGCTCATTTTTAGTTTCAAATACGGGCTTTCTTGTGGTGTATTCGGTTTTCTGCACAAATTTCTAGAAGCCGAGAAAAGTCCATCTGAAAATATGCTGTTTTCTTGGTCTCCTCCTTCCCTTCCACTTTCCCCCATTTCCTCTATACATTCTCCACTGTGGAAGAAACGAGCAATAGTCACAGGTGATTCGTGATTGACCAATTCCAGATGAAGAGCTATAAACGACCCAATTACTCACCTTTCGAAGTTCTTTCACCTATTTTGGTTATTTTTCATCGTTTTTTTGAGTTTCCTTTGCAAATTTTGTCCGTAAATTATTATTTAACCTACAAGAGCATACTAAAATACTGTCTCAGCCAGTATTTTGCTTTTTATTTGCAGAAAAATTGGAAAAATGGCCAGGAGACAAATGCCGGAAGCTAGAAATCGAAATTTTGGTTTATTCAGAAGATAGCACTGCTACTGTACTTTTAAAAGGTAAGAAGCGTTCAGAAAGTCCGAACTTCAAATCCAATTTTTACAGAGAGCCAGGAAATTCTCAATTTTCTGGTACGTCCACTAAGTACTCCGGAAAAGAAACGACTGAGGAAGAGGAAGGAAGAAAAACTGGAACGGTGGGTAGATTTGAAAAAAAAATCTGAGAAAAAACTTTAGATTTCAGTCGGAAGTGTCAAATTCGCTGATTTCGAGAAAATTTCCAGCCGATAACTTCTGTCAGAGGTATAGTACAAAAATTAGTGGGAGCTTCAAATTTCGATAAATCATTTCAGTTTACTAACCGAGATTCTACAGCGTCTTCTCCTCCCCGACTTGGACCGTCATCGAAAAAAGACAAAAGCTGACAGAAGTAGAAGCTTCGACGCCGTTCCAGCTAATACGATGACAGCGGAAGAGAATAATATAACTTTTAATTAATTGTTTTTTCGTTTTTCCTTGTTTTTTCTGTGCAATAAACAATTTTTAGCAGCTGCTAGCTTCCAGATTCGAAAAAATATATCCCATTTATAGCCCTCGCGACAAGCCAATTGTAGGAGATTTGCTCGCGATAGTTCGAATATTGGTCGTTTGCGGTGGCGCGTTCGCGATCGGTCTGTAAATGGCCTGCGGCAGGCATGTTCCGATGTACCCATGGCGATTTTCCGCGAACAATATTCCACCTACAGTGCGTTTCATAAGTATAGGTTCACCCTCGGTAGACAAGGTGGGAAATCTTGGAGGTTTGGGGTTGTTATAATATTAAAGTCCATGTAAAAATACATATCGCCCACAATTTTTAGACCGCTACTACAAAAAATAAATTTTTTATGTCAGAAAAAGTATGTTTTGTGAAAAACGAGCGTTTCATAAGTATAGGTTCACCCTTGAAAAAAATTACAGTTTCACATAGGTGATAACTTTTTAACTATTTTTACTGTTTTTAACTATTTTTGCGTCTTTTACTTCGTTTTTCTTATGCCGCGAGCCACTCATCTCTCGGATTCGGAGCGAGCTCAGATCGACGCGTTCAAAACGGCTGGATGGTCGAATCGGCGCATCGCAGCTAGGTTAGGACGGTCTTTCAATTGTATTAACACGTTTGTTAACAATCCGGACCACTACGAGACCAACAAGAAGAGCGGAGCTCCGAAAAAATTGACGGATCGAGACACGAGAAGCATCATCAGACTGGCATCCAATTCGATGAAGAGCTGTAACGACATAAAGAATGAGCTGAAACTGGATGTGAGCAAGTCCACGGTCTGGAGAACACTGGACAGCAATCAGAACATTGTCCGAGCCAAGTTAATGTCCGCGCCGATGCTCACCGATGCTCCAAGGCGAACCGACTTCAGTTTGCGAGGAACAACATGGCAACTGATTGGGATAAGGTATGGAATGCTTTTGAAATCATCACTTATGCTGTTTTCTATTACAGATCATCTTCAGCGATGAAAAAAAGTTCAATCTGGACGGGCCGGACGGCTTCAACAGTTACTGGCACGACCTGAAGAAGGATCCCCTCCATTTCTCCAAGCGTAACTTCGGTGGTGGTCGTCTTATGGTCTGGGGAGCATTCTCTTCTGCCGGTACTATGGATTTGGCGTTCGTCTCCTTCAGAATGAACTCGACAGACTATCAGGATGTCATGACTGCCAAACTGATCCCATATCTTCGCCGTTTTCATCGGCGTCAGCTCACATATCAACAGGACAATGCTTCGATTCATGCGAGCAGATCGACTTTGGACTGGTTCAAGTCCGAAAAAATCAAGGTGATGGATTGGCCGGCTTGTTCGCCGGATTTGAACCCAATGGAGAATGTTTGGGCTGAACTCGTGCGCGTCGTATATGGTCAGGGAAAGCAATACCAGACCGTTTCTGAGCTCCAAACTGCCATCGTGGACGCATGGAAGAACCTGAAGAAGCCTTACCTCCAGAAGTTGTTAAATTCCATGCCAAACCGCTTGTTTTCTATTATTTCCACTGGTGGAAAGCCCACAAAGTATTGAATTGAATAAAACTTTGTTAATGTTAAATTTTCCGGGGGTGAACCTATACTTATGAAACGCTCGTTTTTCAAAAAAAAGACTTTTTCTGACATAAAAAATTTATTTTTTGTAGTAGCGGTCTAAAAATTGTGGGCGATATGTATTTTTACATGGACTTTAATATTATAACAACCCCAAACCTCCAAGATTTCCCACCTTGTCTACCGAGGGTGAACCTATACTTATGAAACGCACTGTATTATAGACGCTGCGCGAATCACCGAGTGGATAGTGGGGATGAATAGTAATCACAATTTTGGGGTTCGATTCCGTCACTGTCCATTTTCTTTTTCTTTTTTTTTTGATGTTGGAGGAATGCTTTGAACTTTTCGAAAATCAAAACTATGTTTGCTCTATTATTTCAGTAGGAAAACAGCTCGAAAAAATAATTTCTGAAAAATTCTTGAAGCACTGCTGAAAAGCCTTATCTACTCAAAATGTCAGTCGAAATCCCCCTATTTGATCATATTGGTTGCGGAACTGTTATAAATCAGTCAAGAAGTATGTAAATCTATGTTTTCACAATATTTGAGTGCTATTGGGTTTTCGAAGGACTACGATTCATTGGAGTTTTGGAAGAAATCACTTATTTCGGATTTCAAAACGGATATAGGTTACAGAATCTTGTGAAAAGACTCATTTTATCATTTTTATGCGTTTAGAATTCATTTTAGCACATTTAAAAAATTCCCATGGCAAAAATTTTTTTCAAAAAAAATTTTTTTTGAAAAATGAGGAAACTTTGTCAGATTGTAGAGAAACTTTTAAAATTGCGATTAACACTCAAACAATGCCAAAAAACTCCCATTAACCCTTTCAAAAACTCACTCCAAAAGTGAGAAATTAGTACTGAAATCACTTAAACAGCCCATAACTCGACTTCTAGAAATTTGTGCAGAAAACCAAATACATCAAAAGAAAGCCCGTATTTGAAACTAAAAAAGAGCAAATTTAGAAAAAATTCTGAGATGAAGGCTAAACATGGTTCCCTTGTGAGAATGCTCAAAATAACCAAAAATCAACTTTTGTCAATATCTTATTGACCGGTAATCCATTCAAAAGTGCTCACCACAATCATAATTCTGTGAACGGATTTCCGCGATTGGTTGAGAATTTATTCTTATAAAAAGAGAAAAAAGTAATAGAATAATCATTTCTCAAGAAACTTAGATTTTTGAAGTTGGTGAAAATTCTCAAAATGAAAAAAGGAGGCATTTACATATAACTTTTAATTATATTTGTTTTCGATTTGGCAAAGTCTATAGCAACATTTTTGAGAGAAAAATGGCAATTTGAAATTTTGAAAAAGTTTGAAAACTTTCTGATGATTCATTCATGCAAACAAAAGGACATCCTTCTAAACTTTGAACGTTGCGGATCATTGAATCCAATGTCTTTATCAGCTGGATAAACTAAAAGCTATCAATCTGGAGAACTTTATCTGAAAAAGTCTGGAGAAAAAACAGAAGCTTAACTTCATAATATCTGAAAAAATTTTCCATGCTTTCACATTTTTTCAAACCTCCGATTCCCCACAGGAAAAGATCATGTTCATTTTCTCCCATCGGATGTAGTAGGTGCAAATCGGCACCTGAACAAACGAGCAAAAAGACAACTTCTATAGTATCCTTTAGCAACATCAGCATCAATCAGTTTCGATACTATAAAAGTGACACCGATCTTAATGAGATCACCACTTTCGGGCGCCTCGTCTTGGTCGAACGAAGCTCACCGCAACCTATAAAGATGTCGTTCATTTCGGTGGTCATCTCAGTTTTAGCCATGGCTTCTGGAACCAGTGCTGTAATTTCTGGAAACTATAATTGCACCACGTATAATGGAACCGCTGTGAGTTTTTTTTCTGATTTAGACCTGATGGTTTGATTCTAAAGTCATGGGTCTATGCTTTATGAGTAAGGGGCTCTCATCAAGCTCTCGATTCTGACACTACTAACATAATCTTCCACTATAACAATGTTACTATGGAAACCATTTTCCAGTTCGTCTACACCCCAGCGGCCGTTGCCTGCTCTAATGTCATCTCCGACGCCTCCTGCCAAGTCCTCTATGCTGCCCCCGACACCCTCTACCCAGCAGCTGGAAATGATGCGGAGAGAGCTTATGCCTGTTACACCACCGCTACAGCCACTCCAGCTGCCACTGTCAACGATATGGTCACTGCAGCTATCTCCAACTGCCCGAAGACTTGTGGTTTCTGCTGTGCCACCAGTGCTTACTCGTGCTCCAATGTTGCTTGTGAGTCATTTTATGAAGTATTGCTACTAGCTAGATTTTCAGCAATTTCTATTAAGCACATAGAACCTGATACTTCAATTAATTCTTCTTTATACAAAATCAATCCTTCAGACCCACGCCTCACTTGCTCTACAATCACCGCCGCCCAATGTGCATCCTCTGTCTGGCGCACAATCATCGCTGAGGACTGCCCATCATCCTGTGGATTCTGTAATGACGGAGGATGTGTCGACGCTGTCACCAGCTGCGCCAACGACATCACCATCTGCACCACCGTCGGCATGCAAGACTTCGTGAATGAATACTGCCAGAAGACCTGTGCTAGATGCGCCAGCTCCACCACCACCGCTTCTTCGGCCTCTTCTAGTACCTGCACATCCTACAACGCCGATTCCAGCTCCTCCTGCTCGGCATGGGCTACCAATGGATTCTGCACCAACACCTTCTACACCACCGCCCAACGCAAGTCCTATTGTGCGACCACTTGCAAACTCTGCTAGACATATTTTTTGCCCTTTCCAAACTTGCTGGCTAGACTTCACACGGGTTTCGACGATCGACAATTTCCCGAGATGATAATTTTATTGTTGTTCTAAAGTGTTCTGTTTGACCAGCAGATTCATATTTCAATAAAAATTTTTGTCTCTAATTTCTTATCCATTGGGATTATACATATACCAAAGTTTGAAAAAGGTTTATGGAAATCAACCTAAATCTTAGGAAACTGCGCTCCATTGAGAATATGTTCTTGGAAAGAAAAAAGAAAAACCAAGTCGTGCAAGCATAATAAAACCTCCCTTTTTCGACGTACAAAGTTTCCTGGGTCAGAATTTTAATCTTTCAAAATGAGTAGTCAGATTTTCCTCAGAAATGGAAGTCGTGATAAACGTTTTTAAACTCTATATTCTTCCAAACTGCACGAGAAACTCGCCAGCAATATTTCGTGTGCGCTATTTGGGAGCTGGGTCTATTTGATACATTAGTTGTGCTGAAAGAGAGCAATGAACCAAAAATTGACCTTTAAATGGCACTGATCATTAAATCCAGTATGGGCAATGTTCCGGGGAGCAAATTCGTGCACCCAGCAGCTGCACAAACTCCTACACAGCAGTCAAACTACAAAAAAGTTAGGTACTAACCGTTGGAAAATGTTTGAAAGTGATATTGAGATGAAGGTAATAGAGATTCAGATGAAGGTAATAATATCAGTTTTACATCTACATCAAGCTCCACAAGCAAGCTTCATCTCCACGAACGAGCCAAATGTTCTAGCTCGTTTTTTTCGCCCATTATCCGGATGCTTTGGGCAACTGAGCAAACATAAAATACAAAATTCAGATGTATCCGAGCGCAAAAAGTTTACTTATCTCTTTTTTTTTGGCATGCTTTCAACATCAACATCATTTTCTTGATATTCTATAAAAGGGAAGTGTATCCAGCAGACTCTTCACTTTCCGGCGCCTCGTCTTGGTCGAACGAAGCTCACCGCAACTCATCAGGATGTCGTTCATTTTTGTTGCCGTCTACGTTTTAGCCATGGCGTCTGGAACCAGTGCTGTCATTTCTGGAAACTACAACTGCACGACGTATAATGGAACTGCTGTGAGTTTCTTTTCCTCATTTAGACCTGATAGTTTGACCCTCCAATTATCATTAAGTCCGGGTACTTGGTGAGACCTCTATGGAAAAGATAGCTCATGGAGTCCCAAATCTGACACTTGAAACTATGTCTTGCCTTGATAATCACAGTAATCCTGTTACAGTTTGTCTACACCCCAGCCGCTGTTGCCTGCTCCAACGTCATCTCCGACGCGTCCTGTCAAGTCCTCTACGCCGCTCCAAACACCCTCTACCCAGCAGCTGGAAATGATGCGGAGAGAGCTTATGCCTGTTACACCACCGCTACAGCCACCCCAGCTGCCACTGTCAAGGATATGGTCACTGCAGCTATCTCCAACTGCCCAAAGACTTGTGGATTCTGTTGTGCTACCAGTGCTTATTCGTGCTCCAACGTTGCTTGTGAGCCATTTTAAATAGCTAGTGGTCTAGGTTGTTCTGATGAAGGTTGTTATCCATACAGTCAAATGAATCAGAATTACATTAACTGACTGATTAACTGACTAAATAATTAACTGTTTGACCGATTGTGAGCACCTGCCGCGGCCCTAGGATTTTAACCTCTCATTGGACGACGCCCGATTATTGTTACAACCTATAGAAGTTTGAAATAAATCCCATTAAGCTCATAGAACCAACTATTATGACCTAACAATTATTTATACAAAATCAATCCTTCAGACCCACGCCTCACTTGCTCTACAATCACCGCCGCCCAATGCGCATCCTCGGTCTGGCGAACGATCATCGCTGAAGACTGCCCAGCATCCTGTGGATTCTGTAACGACGGAGGATGCGTTGACGCTGTCACCAGCTGCGCCAATGACATCACCATCTGCACCACCGTCGGCATGCAAGACTTCGTGAACACCTACTGCCAGAAGACCTGCGCCAGATGCTCTAGCTCCACCACTACCGCTTCCTCTGCCTCTTCTAGCACTTGCACATCCTACAACGCCGATTCGAGCACCTCATGCACCGCGTGGGCCAAGAACGGATTCTGCACCAACACCTTCTACACCACCGCCCAACGCAAGGCTTACTGTGCTTCCACTTGCAAACTTTGCTAGACTTCTTTCTCTTGACAAGACGGGTACTCGACGACGATGATAAATTAGAAGACGAATCTAGCTTAATTTTATTGTCACATTCAATTATGCCTGACCAGCAGAGTATGTCCAATAAATTTTCTTTATCGTCTTTTTCCGATCTTCCAGTCAGAGACCACTCACCAGGTCACACAGACTACACCACCCTGTTTTGATCTTTTTGGTTGTTCTTTGTTTGTCTGCGTATCTTTTTGTACGCAACGCGTCTGTCATACTCGTAGTCATTGATTTTCTAAAATATGTTGTACCTTTTTCTATTGTCCCTCAAAAAACTACACTCGTAGTTTATTGATTTCACAAAATATGTCTAGTATTCTATGCGGTGTTTGTGAACAGACTTCGGATTCTTTCAATTTTGGAGCACTTTCCTGTAAGTGAGTAAGACATGAATTTTTTCAAACTACGATAATTAATTTTTAGTGCTTGTGCTGCGTTTTTTCGTAGAGTCATCGCTTCTAACAGGATTCCAAAAGTACAATGTGATAGAAAATGCGACCTGACAAGTCGAATTTTAAGGCGGTTATGTTCAAATTTCCGTTATCAAAAATGCCTAAAGATTGGGATGGATTCGAAGATGGTTAAATCTGGAAAACCGGAGGAACCGAGTATTCTGGAAGAACTAAAACAATCATATCGAAATCCCGAAGAGCTCAGAAGGCAAACTTTCAAAAATGATGGACAGTCCAAATTGGTGTTTTTTTTGAGGAAATGGATAATTTGTGTAGAATTGATATAAATTTGATAATGGATACTTTGATGAAGACTTTCACGAGGCTGTCTTCTCCAATGCAAAATAATCAACATCGATGTCTAATTTCGAACTTCTTGGGACCTTTTATAATTGTGGATCAGTGTTTTCTATCAGTTGGTGAGTTGAGTATTTCGTGGTCTGTATCCATCGAAAATTCAAAAAGCTGTATCTTGGCTCTTAGAAAAGCTAGAAACTTGAAATTTAGGCAAAAAAGTGTAGATCTTTTACTATAAGTTTGTTCCTCATGACATTTTACATGTTTCTGTCTAAATTTTGAGTTTCTAGCTCGTCTAGGAGCCAAAATATGGCTATTCGAAGTTTTGAAGGCTAGAAACGTAGCGTGTCTCGTCGTCTGCGCCTCTAGCCTACAAAATTTCAAACAGCCGTATCTTGGCTCTTAGATGAGCTAGATACTCAAAATTTAGATAGAAATCTGTAAATCTTGAGAGGAACAAATTGGTGTCGTGAGGAGCAAAACCTCTGAAGTTGGCAAGGGTAGAGACACAGTGAGCATTGTTGTCTGCTGCTCAAGCTTCAGAATTAATTATTAATTTGTTCCTCACGAAATTCTACACATTCCTGACTTACACGAGCATTTTCAAAGTTCCAACCAAGGAGATTCTAAAGTAGCGGAGACATCTTTGTAAGTGTTTAAGAAAACCGTTTTTCAGCTTAAAAAAAAAGACAATTTTAGATTTTTGGCGCCATATTGGAAACAGAGAAGAACTATAATGGGTCGAACATTTAAAGAATTGAAAATGGACGTTAGCGAATTGCTAGTTTTTTGCGCTTTGATTTATTGGGATTTCGGCCTCCATGAGCAATCCGATGAATGCATTGAAATTCGTCTTGAAAGGCGTTCTGGAATTTTGAAGGAGCTGAAACTCTATGAACAAAGTCTGCGATCCGAAAACGATGCATCTTTGAGGATAGGACAAATAATGTTGGTGCTCCAAATGGTTCAAAAATCCGTGTCGATGATGGAAGAGTACAAAACGATCTCGATAATTTATGATTTGTGTGCGAAGCACTGTCCATTGTTTCAAATGTCGGAGGGTGGACTTTGAAATCAATTTTTTTTCGTTTCCTGTGAGAGATATCAAAAATTAATCAGCTGATAAAATGTTCTTCGTAATTTCAAGAATATTTTATCAGTTGATTACTTTTAGATACATTTCACATGAACCTTGGTCAAAGGTTGGGGGCCCTAGAGAAATGAAGAGGTTTGAAATTTTTCGAATGTTCAAAACCAATTTTACAATTTTCATGAAATTTGTTACCAATTCAATTACAGCTTCAAAATTTGCTTTATTTCACTATCATGACTAATTTTTGAGATTATATGCCAGATTATGAAGGATGATCTCTTGTTGTGTTTTTTTTTGGATTCTGATAGAAATTATTCAAACTAGGCAAATCTACATAATCTCCGTTTGGCATCACAAAAAGTTCGGATCCGTGGGATCGCCATGCGCCGTCCAGTAAGGCAAAAGGCGCTATAAATTGGTGGCCAAGGAATTTTCGTTGCTCATCGTTGATAGGAGTAATAGATTGAAAGAATTGAGACAGATGCAGATGAATTAGGTCAATGTCTTTGGAGAAAATCTCGTCGAGCGCTTAGTAGTTTGTAGCGTTGAGTTTGCGATCCTGGAAAGTGATAGATTTTTTGTTTGCTATTCGTCCTGTATTGTGTAACAAGAGAAACAACCAGGGTTACAATGTGAACGGTTGGACAAATAGGGTTTTGAAAAATGTATAGATTTCTGATATCTGTGCTAGTTTTGGTCAGACCGCTAAAATTAAGATGGTCCTTGCCTTATTGAACGCATTTCATTCACGAATTCTCATCTTCTAGCATTTTCCAAATTTCGATGAGCCTCTTTCATCTGATCCAACAAGTTTCCCACTGCCCATCCGTTACTACTACTCGTCCCTTCTCTTGGCTGTGTTTCATTTTTGGTGATTCCTGATAACACTGCCGTTGTCTTCATTCCAATCCTAAGACATTTGTCGTATTTACAAAATGGGCAGAGCTTTCTTGAAACTACAGTATCCAGCTCACAGTTTCCGTTACACATTCTCCATGTGCTCTTTTAGGCCCTGGCAACTTCTCAGAATTTCTCTGAGATGTAAATTTTATTATATTTCAGTTTCTAGTATAATTTGTGACGACACCTGGGAAAACGTTTCTAAATTTGGAAACCTTGGAGTAACCAGATTTGGTTCGGTGCTCTCAGAAGCCTTATGACTTTGAGAGAAGGATCAGAAAAACAAAATGTAGAGATTGAAAATCCCACTTCAGCGTTTTCAAAATTTCAAGAATTCGAAAATGCTGAAAAGGTTGTTGGCTTATATTGAACGAATCTCAGTCAATTGGGTACTACAAATATTCACTTTTTTTGATAATTTTGGAAGATTTAAAAAAAGACACTCACCGAAACAAAAGTGCTCAGAATGCACAATTTTCACAGTGCAGCTACAAACTCTACTATATGGGCGTGGCGTTCTTCGGTTCATTTATTTTTTAGGATTTTTTTTCTAGGGTTGCTCTTTGGAACTTAAAAGAAAATTTAATGAAAAACAGAAGTTTTGAAAACCTCGAAAATCGATAACATACATAATAACCTGTTCATATGCACTCCCGCCTTTTTGTCATCTTTTTGGTCACTTTAGCCACAAATTTTGCGTCTGCGTCTCTCTCTATTTTCATTTTTGCCAATCGGGGGAAACAACAGTGAACACAAACTACACTTTGTGTTAATTTCTTCAGTGGACACGAATTTTTATGTCAAGTCGGAGAGAGAGAGAGACTAAAAAAGACGAAGAGACGCAGAATGAACTTGATTATTTGCTCTGTGTGTTGGGGGATACTCCCCGCCCCAGAAAAAGTGGAGAATCCTTATTACCTTTTTTTTACGTTGGATATGTATTTCTTATTTTTGACATAAAAAGTTTTGGGGTTATAATTTTTTTGATTTGATTCATGTGGTTTCTGCTTATCTTATCAGCCCTTTCCGGTCATCTTTGTATGATTTGGGTATCCCCTTCTCTTATTGATTTTTCGTTTAGGTTTTTACAACTGTTGGTATCTTGAACTTTTTAGATAAAATTTTTCTAAATTTCCAACAAAAAAAGTTCCAGAAAAAAAAACAATGGAGAGTCCGCCAAGTCTTCTTTATTGTGGAGTTTGTAGCGACACTGCGGACGCTGTGCATTTCGGAGGGCTTTCGTGTCGGCGAGTGTTTATTTTCTAAAATTAATCAATCAAAATGATCCTGAATAAACCCAAAGTGACTGGAAACCATTTAGAAATTCATAAAAATTTATTTAAATTTGTTACTAGTAGACCTCTCAAAGAAGCCCACTTTATACTTCCACTTTGAGCTCAATTATCTTGGTTCCTATGTAAGGTAATAAAAATTAATCTACTGATAAATTATTAATCATAATATCACCTATATTTTAACAGTTGACAGTGTTTTGATAACTGTTGTAGGAACCGAGATAATTGAGCTCAAAGTGGACGAACAGGGTGGTCTTCAGAAATACGGTAGTCCCAAATTGACGGAAATAGTTCCAAAACAAGCCGACAGCTGTTTTTGCTGTTTTTCACATTTAGAAATTCATAAAAGCTAAATTTTGATCCTGAAGTTTCTGAAATTGGTTTTTCATGATCCTTTTCAAAAGTCATACGGCTCCTGAGCAACAAACCAAATCTTATTACGACTTTTAATTTTAGTACCGTTTCCCAAAATAATAAATTTCACCTTTTCAGAGCATGCGCCGCATTTTTCCGTCGAAAAGTGGCCGGTGGAAAAATGAGCATTGGAAGAAGATGTTTCGGAAACTGCAAACTGGATACTGTAGTTTCAAGAAGACTCTGCCCATTTTGCCGATACGACAAGTGTCTTAGGATTGGGATGAAGACAACAGCAGTGTTATCGAGACTAGCCACAGTGAAAACAGAGCCAGGAGAAGGGACAAGTAGTGGTAGTGGATGGGCAATGGGAAATTTGTTGGAGCAGATGAAAGAGGCCCATCGGAATTTGGAAAATGCTAGAAGAGCAGAATTCATGAATGAGGTAAGGATACGATTTCTATAAGATTCATAACATAGCGTACTCAAATCAAACTTTTTGAACTAAAAATCGAAAACTGCGAAAATGCGGATTTTGTTTGAATCAACTATGTATATTTAAATGCTGATGTCCAATCCAGAAGTCGTTTCTTTCAAAAAATTTGTTCAATCCTGATGGGGGTCCTGAACTTTTTGTAAACTTTGTAATACCCTCTAGCTTCCAGCTTTGAGCCAATTCTGCGCGGTTCCTGTAAAAGATACCGTAAAACCTGTTTTAGAAGGACCCCTGAAATTGAAGGGCCCCTCTAATTGAAGTGCCCCCCTAGGGACCCCACAAAAAATAGAAAGGCAAGCCCTTCTAATACAGGTTTTACGGTATACAAAAGTTGTCCACTGAAAAATTTTTTCATCATATTATCAGAATTTTTTGACAGTTTACACAATTTTGATATCTTATACAGGAATCGATATAATAGAGCTTGAAAGTGAGGGTGTCCTTCTATTACAGGTCTTACGGTATTAAACACATTTTCACCCTTTCAAATTGTAACCCTAGTTCCCTCTGCTACACTAAAAACAACAAATAGCGAACTATGTGTTTCATTCCAGGATCGCAAACCGAACGCTACAAACTACAAAGTGCTCAACGAGATTTACTCCAAAGACATTAACCTAATTTATCAACACCTATCTGTATTCTTTCAATCCATTACTCCTATTAACGATGAGCAACGTAAATTCCTTGGCCACCAGTTCATGCACCTTTTGCTTTACTAGATGGCTCTTGGCGATCCCAAGGAACCGAACTTTTTGTGATGCCAAACGGGGATTATGTAGATTTGCAAAATTTGGATAATTTTTATCAGAACCCAGACGAACAAGATGGTAGTATAGCAGAGAATGTTACGACGTAAGTTGGCATTAACACAATAAACCGGAAAAGAAGAATTTCAGACTAATGAAACCATATTGGCATTTGAATAACCGAGTGTTAAGGAAAAATCTGGTAGAGGTGAATCTAGATTTATCGGAATTTTTATTTGTCAGTGCGCTCATTTTTTGGGATTTCGGTAAGTGTGATTGGCTCTGTGTCTTTGAATCTTTGAAAAAATTTTCAGGCGTTCCGGAACAATCAGATGAGTGTATAAAGGTTTGCAAGCTGATGAGGTCCCGGATTTTCGAAGAGTTGACGACATATGAAAAATCTAAAATAATGACAGAAGATCATTCATTACGAGTTGGAGAGATTGTGATAGTGTTACAAGCAGTTCAAAAGGCACTTGGGATCATGCACGAGTGTAGAGATATTTCCATCGCTTATAATTTACACGGCAGGGAGTGTCCGTTGTTCAAAATTCCGGAAGGTTCATAATAAAAATATGCTCAATAAAGAGATTGTTTAACCTCGAAAATGAATGTTATTGTTTTGGTACTAGTTCTAAGTACCGTATGCTCATCTCACTGAGTAGAAAGATCTGTAAAGTATGGTTTTTGAAAATCGTAAACTTGGCTTCAATTGTTTTATTTGGTTCCAGACCTCATTTTTTAATCAGAGGGAGGGGAGACAGAAATAGGCAACAAAATGTAGAAGCGGAATTTGGAGGTTCGCTGGGGCGCGATTTCTGACAAGGAGGGTTGAACTCCAGTGTTTCAAAAAGTTTCTTTAAGATCGAGATGCTCTTTCAGCTTCTGTGGCTGCGTAGATCATCCTAAATGCTCTAATATAAACCTACTCTATACGTCCAATTTAAGCTCAAATATCTCGGTTTCTGAAAAAGATATCAGAAATTTGTTTAAAAAAATATTGCTGATATTATGATGAACAATTTATCTGTTGACAACTTTTCGATATCTCTTATAGAAACCGAATTAATTGAGCTCAAAATGCGCGTATAGAGTAAACTTTTATTACGGCATTTACAGTATTCCAGGAACACGCTTTTTTTATTTCCACCTCCTTTAAACAAGCTACAAAATTATGGCGACCCCTGCCAAAAATGCCAAAAAGCCCAACTGACAAAATACTTTTAACTTGAAGATAAACACTTGGCATTTTGGCTATTTTTTGGTAATATTTACAGAAAACGAGAAAAATTGATTTTCTGAAACAAGTTCTGGAGAATTTCAAGGTTAAAATTTATAGAAATGACATGTTTTTTAACATACTATAACCAGAAAAATGAATATTCAAAGATCTGATTTCGGATTTTTTTTAGAAAATCCAAAATAGGCTGAAGTAAACCTTCAAATCAAATTTATGCCCTCTTTGACTACAGCCGGTATCAAAAAATCCATGCCATGAAGTTGAAGAATCACAAAATAATTATTGACATCTTCCAAATGTTTTTCAGCCAAAGTGATAAGCGATAACAATTCCGTATATCTACAAGGTCCAAGTTTCTCATATGTTTCCATACAATATTCGAAAAGTGCATTGCTATAAACACTCTGATAGGTGGACACCAAAATCTGCCCAGTTTCAGATAAATCGAGTAGTGCTGAAAGTATTCTGATTCGGTTTGATACAGTATCCAACGGAAATTTTCACCTGGATTGCAAAAGATCAATATCAAAACTAGCAAGAACTCCTCTTTGCTCAACTGGAGCTCAATAAATTTGGAGACCAACCGTGTTCGGATTCGATTCCCGATTTCTTCTAGACCCTTCACATCAGGAGTAAAGGGAAGAACATCGGAACCATCAGGAAAGGATAAAGCATGCTGATTAGAAAAATAAGCTCGAGATGCAGCCGAAAAGCTTGAGACTTTGATAAAAGAGGATTTTACCAGAATCAATTGGTCTGAAGAATTGGCCAGATAAATGAAGGGAAGCTTTTTCATAAACTCTATAGTGGCTATTGAACTGATATAGATCCAAGAACTGAATTTCATTGGAACCAAATCGTTTCTTTGTTGGTATTTTAATTTTTTAAAGAATAATATTGTTGATACATTCAAATCTGGATCTAAAGGATGATAGTCTGAAAGAATACGGTTTCGATGCCGATCAAAATCAGAAAGTTTTTCGAAAAGTTCTTCGAGTGGCAGTTTTGGAACCAGGGGTTCCAAAGTCATTCCAGATTGAAGGCATTTGTGAAAGCGACAGAATTGACAACCGGCGAGAAAATCTGGAATAGAATTTATCATTAGATCTGAAACAGGATTTCAGATTATACCTTTCGGACAAGCTTGATTCCCGGACAAACAAGGTTTCAATAGCGCTTCTTTAACCACATGACGACGGAAGAACATCTTACAAGCACTGCAACAGTCAACCTGAAACGGGAGTTACGGTAATTTTTACAAATCTACAAACTTACTCCATAACTGAAGTCACTTGTAAGACGTGCACAGATAACACATTTTTTGGCGACATGAACCATTTTCATTTGATAAGGATACTAAAGAAAGTGGCTTAAGACCTAGATCTACCGTAACCAGGAAGACGTCGATTGTTTTTGTTCCCACCCACATTCCTTTTATTTGACTCCAATGGGCGTTCGAATAAAAAAAACTCTGACTTAACACTGGGCACAAACTCCACTAAGCATAAACCCCATAGAAGCACCTGTAATAATAATGAAGATTGTGTGTGTAGGTTGATTCATTGTAATAGCCTGATGAAGGTTCTCTGATGTTAGGGTTAACTACTTTAAAAAATTGTAAGAACACATGGAACCTATGAAAAATTCGTAAATTACCTTATCAAAAATCCCTGGAGTGCAACGAGTTACTGTAAACACTCAAGTAGAAGGACCACTCTAACTATTAACTTTCAGCCAGTTTATCTCGGTTTCTTGAAAGATATTTAAAAGTGGTCGACTAACAAAATGATTGTGATATTATGATGAGCATTTTATCAGTTGAACACTTTTTGATATCTTTCTCAGGAAATTAGATAAATTGGCTCCAAGTTGACAACTTGAGGGAGTGGGCATTCTATCAGTGTTTACAGTAAACCTTAAATGTTGTTCAGTGCAACCGAAAAGTTAATCTCACTCTAATGAAAATTTGAGCCAATTATCTTGTAAGTCTTTAATTATGCCATTCTTTTTATTTATTCTTACTCAATTTGAAAACTATTCAGACCAATTCAAAAACACTCCAACCCTCAAAATCACTGTCTCCATTTCCACACATCATTTCCAGACGATACTGTTTTTCTATCAATCGCTTCAGCTGTCTTCCGTAACATCTGAAATTGATTCCTCATGTTATGTCCTTGTGGTGGCTATGAGACGAGGTTAAAATACTAGTTTATTTACATAGAGAGAACCATTTAATGCAGAACTTATATAGGCTGTTGTTATCGCCACGTAGATCTGAGGGTTGACGTCATCCAGACAGTTCACGCCACAACACCTCCCCTTCTTCACAAGAAGTCCTTTGTCTACTGCCGAATTCTTCCACGAAGTTCCAATGCAGCCGCTGCTTAGACTCCACAGCTTTCCTTTTGACTGGATACATCTCAGTCGTTGTTGCATCGATTTTAATATGATCTCTATCTCAAGGGCAACCAGGACGTCGTCCATGAATCCGGTTTTCCTCCAGGTACTTATGCCTGCTTACCAGTCCATACAGAGCATCCATCCGTTGCTGAATTCAGAAGTCCATCGATCCATTTGATCTTCACTCGCAGTTCTTCGATCTTCACTCATTTTTGGTCCATCGATCTTCACCTCCAACGGCGCTCCTGGCTTTCTGAATGTGATCCCAAGATCTCCATCCACCACACCGGCCATTTCGATGCCGAATCCACGACACCGGGGACTTCTCTTTGCTCTTCCTCGCTCCGCTTCACACCAGACATCATTGTTCGATGGATCCAGCTTCGATCCATCTCATCCTGATGGCCACTGTTATGTCCTTGTGGTGGCTATGAGACGAGGGATAAACTACTAGTTTATTTACATAGAGAGAACCATTTAATACAGAGTTCAATAAGTTTATATAGGCTGTTGTTATCGCTACGTAGATCTGAGGGTTGACGTCATCCAGACAGTTCACGCCACAACGACTCACTAAAAATTAACATTCATGGTATCCATTTTTCAGACGGTTTCTGACTTGCCTTTCGTGTTTTGGCTAGAAAAAAAGTGACTTTGAAAAACAAAAGTCAAGGAAAAATATATTTAGTATTATTAGAAAAAAACATGTTTTTTCAAAAAATACGTATACATTCATGATACTAGACTTTTTGCAAAAAAAAGGAAATGGTACAGTACTGGCCAAAAAGGTATTCGCAAACGGTTTTTTGAGAGTAACTTTGCTGAAACTTAAGGGATCGATCTGAAAATTTTACTGTGCATGTCGTACACGGTGACGACAAATTGCGTACAAGGAAATTGCATCATTTTCAGAAATTTTTTGTTTTTTTCAATTTTTTCAATTTTTTCGTTTTTTCACTTTTTTCATATTTTTATATTTTTGGATATTATGGTTTCTAAGAATGTTGGTTTTGGCTCCTATGTATTTAAAACTGTTTACAGACATGGCCAGACCCCTCGGAAAAAAAAAACATCTCTCAGGACATCCGTAAAGCCATCGTCATCGGCTTCAGAAGTGGATGTTCCAAGGACCTCTTGGCGCAGCAGTTCAATGTTACTAAACGTGCCATCGAGAAGATCTTGAAGCAGTTTCGGGATGAGGTAATATTCAAAAATAGTATAGTTATGGAAAAAAATGTTTAGGGAGCCTTGGCGGAGCGAAAATCGCCTGGAAGACCGCGTATCACGTCGAAGAACATGGATCGGAACATCGTCCGAGTTTCAAGAGAGGATCCCCAGAGGAGTTCTACGGACATTCAGATGGTCGTGAAGACACCAAATGAAGTCACACCATCCCTGAGAACCGTCAGAAGACGTCTTCAAGATGCTGGACTCCATGGACGACGGCCAGCTAAGAAACCATCGATCAGCAAGAAGAACAGAATCGCCCGCGTAGCATGGGCCAGAGCTCATCTCCACTGGGGACGTCAGGATTGGGCTAATCACGTGTTCAGCGACGAATCCAAGTTCAATCTGTTCGGTACTGACGGTATCAAGTGGATTCGCCGTCCGGTTGGATGTCGGTTCGATCCCAGCTACCAGCTCCAAACCGTCAAGCATGGAGGTGGATCGGTGATGGTCTGGGGCTGCTTCTCTGGGACTTCAATCGGCCCGCTGAGAAGAATTACAAGCATCATGGATCGCTTTGTGTATGAAGACATCTTGGAGAACACAATGAGACCCTGGGCAAGGTCTACTGTGGGCCGGGCGTTCGTTTTCCAACAGGATAACGACCCGAAGCACACCTCGAAGCACATCAAGGAGTGGTTCCGACGCCGCCACGTGGATCTTCTGGACTGGCCAAGTCAATCTCCGGACTTGAATCCGATCGAACACCTCTGGGAGCATGTCGAGAGACAGCTTAGAGGGGTTCGTGCCTCGAATGCCAACCAGAAGTTCGACCAACTCCAAGATGTCTGGCAGGCCATCCCGATGTCTGTCATCGACACCCTTCTCGACTCGATGCCAAGAAGATGTCAAACGGTAATCGACGCCAAAGGCTTCCCAACGAAGTACTAAAGCTATTTTATTCATTTTCTATTATTATTTTTCGTTTACCGGTCTATCCTAGATCTCAGAAGTCAAAGTTCCATTTACCGGTTTTTTGCAATTTTCATGAATTTTTCGATTTTTTTTCAATTTTTTGAAATTTTGACTATTCTTGTTGTTGAATCAGTTTCTTTTACCGTTTTAAACTTTGTCTTAAAATATCAGATCGATCCCTTAAGTTTCAGCAAAGTTACTCTCAAAAAACCGTTTGCGAATACCTTTTTGGCCAGTACTGTATCTAGAAGTGGCTGAAAAATGGTTTTAGGCCATTTATATAGCCACCAAATCATGAGAAAAACACAAATCATGGACATATGAAATTTCGTTCCGCATACATCATCACGTTTTCTTCCGTATAAAACTACACTGAATATACTAGTTAGGCACATTTGAGATCATATTTTGGAAGTAAAGCATATAACTCTTCCTGTTTAATAAAAAGGATACCATAGTTCCTTACAAACCAAATGCACCATCCCCTTCAAGGAAGGTTAAAATTTATTATTGTGACTCACAAAAAGAATTCCCATTTTTAGAAATTCCTGACTTTGTAGACTAACTTTCTGTAGAAGTGCTGGATGGTCGATTATTTATTTGCAAAACACAGAATATACAAAAATGATTTTTCACAAAAAATTATGCGGAGACTTTCGAGTCAACAGTTCCATTTCCTTGAAGAGAAAGAGCAACTTGAGCAGCAATGTGGAAGATTGTGTCGACTTCCTGAAATACCCCTTATTAATTCGAAATGTTCTAAAAGTTTTTAGAACTCACAATAGGGAACTGTTTCTTCAATTTATTGATTGCTTCTTTCTGATCCTCGATTTTTTGATTCTTGTTATCCAGAATTTTCTTGATGTCCTCAAATACGTTTCCAAGGTTTCCAAGGATTTTGGCAATTCCATCAAGCAGTTTCTCGACTAGTTCGGCTACGGAAGCGAGAAGTTTCGCGATGAGGTTCTGGAAAAGTGCATTATGAACATTTTGAATACAATTAACTTCTACCTCATCCAGTTTTCCTTTCAAAAGTTTAGTGAGCTTTTCGATTACTTGTTCAACTGTCAGCGTAGTATCAGAGAGGATTTTCACAACTTTCGGGAGCAATTTCTTTGGAATTTTCTCAAGGAAATCGGTAAGGAAATCAGGAAGCTCTGTGATATCTCCAACGATTGGAAGTCCCAATCCACCTGGTGCTCCTCCAATAGTAGCCAAAAGGTTTTCAATGATTTCCTGACTTTGTCCAAGAAGGCTCTCCACAATTCCACCGACACATTCTTTTCCGTTTCCGATGACATTTCCAACGGATCCTCCAATGTCTTCAACGGGAAGCTTCAGACCATATCCTCCAGAGAGAAGAGCAATGGAAGCGAAAATAGCAAGGGTGGCTTTGAAGGAGAACATTCTGAAATTTTACAGATATTTAGAAAAAATGTAAAACTAAAAAGTTGATTGTTTCCCGGTGGTCTGGGTGTTATTTTATACCAAAAATCGAAGTGGATCTTTGTAAAAATTTTACTCGTGTGAAAGCTTAAAGGATGATTTTTGATATGTTTCTGTGAAATGCAAACTAGGAATCTTTGC